ATCCACATGTTGTATGTCGTGATGGTTGGTTTCGACTTGTAGTGCTTGCGTATGTGGCACCAAGGTATACAAGATCGCACCTGATTGGTTGCCGAGTGCATATATTTTGAATATTAAGTGGTGGATTGCACAACCTCGCCTTGTACGTATGTCAACTGCACATGGGTGTGCACACAAAATGTACATGATCTTCAAGTGCGCCAGTGTCAGACTGTATTCTATAGTCTCGCGCTTACCAGCGGCGTGAGAAGTAAGACTCAACTATTTCGGCACCATACATATCATCGGGCTTTGAATCGCCGCAGAGGTATAGCCTTTTCCATCCATGCACTCGAACATATATAATGTTTTATAGCATATCATTAGCAACACCTCGTGCACTTGTATAAACTCTTCTATATGTGAGCGACCTGGGTGGGCTTCTCATCCTGATTCCGGTGCATATGCCCGCCGAAGTTTCGATGGATTTCAAATGCGCAACTCATCAACTTCTTTCTATTTTCAATCGACCCAACCTGCTGGATTGATATTTTATCCGTATATCTCCTTTGACATGCAGAACTATATGGAAAACTTTCTCTGGTATCATCTACCAATTCTCACTTCGGCTACGCACACGAAAAGTCGTGTACTCTATAGTATTCGCAGTCATATGCCTTTAGTCTCAACATTGTTTATGTGGCGTCAGGCTCTCGTCAATATTCAAATGTGTCTCGCATCTACTTTCAGGACCAAAAGCCTACTTCTAAGGCCCATGGGAAAGGCGCGCCTGCATCCAAGGCTGCGGCTCCAAAGAAAGACACAGACAAGAAGGATGACTGATCGAAATGGCGATCTCGACAGAGTGCACCGAAAAGCGAGACACCGCAAACCAAATAGCCATGAAGTTGATTAAATCGCTTCCATACTCCTGTTCACCTGCGGATTTGCACATGTAAGCTCATGAGTTTTGTCAGGGAATATGAGGGCTCGACATCTGATATTAGGCTGCTAGGTGAATAGGCCCACCGTGATAGCATGTGGCACCTTGTGTGAGATGACGCATACTATTGATTATGTCCAAAAGGTTTGTATTGGCTTGTCGTTCATACACCTTTCATGAATCAGAGACTGTGGATTGATAAGTTTGAATACGATCTCGAAATAGATAATGATGTTATGGAGTTGTACATTACATCATCTACTGAACTATCGATACTTATTTAGAGCTTGTCGGTGGAATCCTGGAATTGCACCTAAATTAAAATTGGGCACATGAAGGATCACTGCTGGACATCGCTCCCTATCTCAACTGTTCGGATTTGTCATACTCCGCCACCGTAGACAAATCAGCCTTTCAAAATTGGCCTGACCTCCTTAACACCATCTCGCCGGCTGCTTAAGCCAACACATCCTGAATTGGGGTATATTGTCATCATTTGGGGGAGGAAGTAGAGCCTCCCTCTTGGGTTGAGCACGATGGCAAAGTTCACCTTCCCTTTCGTAATATCAATTAGTAGGAATGCAATATCAATACGTGAAACTATTTTTAGAGATGGTTTACTGTTGAAATCCATCACGAACCGCGTATGTATGCTCGTACGAAACAGCGGCGACTGTGGATATCGAATTTTCAGGAACGTAAGCAAATAGAAAGGACTATCATGCTATATACGATATTTCAGGTGCTATGCTTGCCCGCCATTTCGCATCGGCAACCCCTCAAGCTCCGGAGCCCCGACGCTTCTAGTCAGTATGTGTGTACTCATAGGATAGCAATTGCGAACAATTCACTTGCGAACAATTCACCCTTATATATATATATATATATATATAAAATATATATATATATATATATATATATAAATATATATATATATATATAGTGTGATATCGGTTTCAAGTTCAATTTGTTTGCCACTGGGCTTTGATGAGGATATCACAATATTGGATACTGTGGGTGCCGATCCCTTAGGCACCGATGTGGGTTTGTCTGTCGCGGCAGTGCATGGTGCCTGAGGAATCGAAACCACGAATCCAGCAGTGTGTTACATTTACCAAGTTCAAGTAGTTTAGTGAGGATATCAGAAGCTGGATTTGTTGGTTTGATGCTGGCGGGAAACGTTTTATGTGAAAAAGTTTGGGTCTGGGGAGATCATGAGAAAAGAAAGAAATTGCGTGGACAGAAGGAGCGGCTAGAACTCGCTCGCGCCACGCATTGCCGCGATTGACAGCACCACGCCGGTGATTAGGGTATTGGCACACACAAGGTTCAGTTTTGTGTATCCTCATCGCAACTCAGTAGTGAACTACTTTGAATTGATTTACAGTATATATATATGTATATATTATACAGTTTGTGTATCACAACTCAGCAGTAAACTACTTGGAATTGATTCGCAGTATATATATAAATATATTATATATATGTATTTATATATATATATTGTCCAGTTTGTGCATCATAATTCAGTAGTAAATTACTTGGAATTGATTCATAGCATATATATATATATATATAAATATATATATATATATATATTATATTAACAGTTTATATATATATAGATATAAATATATATATATATAATCCAGTTTGTGTATAACTCACAGCGTGCCAAAACCAAATTTTCATGACGTGGTACATCGATCTGAAGATGTTGAGATGGCTTGGTCAGTCATGATGTTGGTGACCTACATAGTTTGATACCTTTTATGTTCACCAAGCATCGTATTTACCCGCAGTCCCATGATTTCACGTCTACCCCAATCAAATATATCCGAAATCTGTCCTAACTTTTGGCTATGGCCGTGAGATCAATCTCCGATGTCCGAATCACCAGATCGGATATCTCGACTGTGATGGTGACTGATTTTACATTCTTTTCACCCTTTCTGAAAAGTGGCGGGTAATTAATAGACGATGTTCAGATCGGTATTAGGCTATTAAGAAGCAAATATGTGTGTACAAATGATTGTTGATAGAAACTTATCGCTTTCGTAGACTTTTGACGCAGAATGGGTATAGGAGCAGAATATACCGAACTCGATTCTGGATACGTAGTGCCATGGGCATGTGTATACGACAGTGAATGGCCAGGCATATACATCTAGAAGAATTCATATGCACATGTGAATGTGGACAGACGCACCATACACACATATACAGAAGCTTACAGAAGGATGCAACCACAGAAACAAGCAAACACAAGACATGTAAATACGACTGCTTTCACGCGGGCGAATACTACGCACGCGTTGCTGAGAAAAGCTTGTCTACGATCATTAAAGAGATGCACAAGAAAATATGATTGTCTAACTCGAAGTGAGGGCAATCAGCGCTAGAAAATATGGAAAAAGGTGCATTTTCATCATTAATCACGCGATCCAAGACGCATGTAGCTTGTGACCTAGATAGCACAGCATGCTCGAAAGGGTTCAAGATGGATAGTTTACTGTGTTTTTGGTTCATTTGTTCCATATTTACGTAAAACAGCGAGCATCAAGCGTAGGAGTATTTTGGGATCAGCCACTGGTTCTCAGATTGGAGAAAAGATATAGTTGATATGTCTGTATAGGCGTATGTAATTGTAACTTCTGTATCCGAGTCTCCAGAGGTATTCACATACACGTCCATTGTGAAAGAATAGATAAAATACTCACAAGGCCCCAAAACAATGTGAACTTACGGCGTCTCAAATTGGTTGGAGCCGCTGATCAACCCACATATACTCATCGCAGCATGGGTCCAGATTCCTACGCAATCCTGCAGTGGTGATATCACACACAGCACCACCTACAGGCAGCAGTCCACAGTGGGGTGCTGCAGCATGTGGAGAAACTTATTTATGTATACTGAAATATGACTTATGCTGACGAGACGAGTATCAGGTCCTATGCAATGGATCAGAAACGTGGCATGTGTGTTGCTGGGAGTAAATGATCATGCTTGATAATACTCTGTTGACTTGCTTGTATTGGGCACCGAGTGCCGAGCAATATATTCATCACAGATATGTACAGAGACAATTCATCGCAGATATGTACAGAGACAAACGGCCGCTTTATCGATGATGATCACGGATATACTACAGTGCGCTGCAATTGAAAACTACACACCACTTATTATGTGTGAGCGATAAGATACACGCATGCTTATTCAATACGTATGGATTTCCTGTCCACTTGAAGATAGGAATACACATAAATAATCACGTCCAGCGTACACCACACACCTTGGAAATGTGTATTTTTCATCAGCGACACACACTATAATCACATACTATATTTAAATACACTTAATTACATGCAGCGTACACCACATACCTTGGAAATGTGAATTTATCATCAGCGACACACACTATATTCACATACTATATTTAAATACACTTAATCACATCCAGCGTACACCACATACCTTGGAAATGTGTATTTATCATCAGCGACACACACTATATTCACATACTATATTTAAAAACACTTGATCACGTCCAGCGTACACCACACACCTTGAAAATGTGTGTTTATCATCAGTTCGTGCTTGTCACCACCGAGCAGAACAATCTCACAGTGTCTTGCAATGATGTGTAGTTTAGTCTCCTGGACATTATCGAGCCATTTGCAAAGCGCACCAATTGCAGTATATGTAAGATCAAATCGACCGTCTTATCCACCAAGGATGTAGAGTCTGTCAAACTCGTTGGAGTGGTGTATGAGTATGCGGATTGTTATGGTCGGTTGGGATTTTGGCGAGGTGAATCAATCTAGGGAAGAAATATAGTTTACGACATGACATTGACGCACCGATGTCGCAGAACACAATCTCTTCGGAAGCGAGAGTTCACTTGTGCGCTTATCGCAATCCGGAAATGTGGACAATCTCCAAATATTGGTTTCGAAGGGTTGTGAGAGCACGAGTACAAATTCCGGTATGAGCGGTAAAGGACCCTATTCTAAAGTGGGTGTTAGAACATTCTCGAATATAAGTTGTATCAGTGCGAAACTCGGGTCCTCGATAGATTGATATTCCGAGACGATATGTTTGTATATTCTTTATGGTGTGGCAGCTGGCTAGTGTATCCTAATGTCAAATATCAGTTAAATCACAGCAGCAGCGCACCGATACCAGCACATTTGGAACGGGAGCACTATCACAACCAGTTATAACGATACAAACCAATAAATTAGATGCACATGACATGACAATTGTAATGGTTAAAAAACGGTCACACCTCTCAAATCAGAAAGGATTGGGAATTGTATATCTTATCGGACATCGTGCACCGTCTTATCGCAGTCCTCTAGTACGCAAGTGAAGACTTGTTGAGATCGTGCTCATCCTGATCCACTATTGGTATAACAGCTCCACCATAGATATAAAGGAGAGAAATTTGCAGAAGTTACGTATGACTATGACAATCATCCAGTCATTTAGGATACATCTATCGCAAATGGAAAACCTTAGACTGATAATTCTGATTATTAATGGCAGGATTATATGCCTTTCACTAGATGATTGCAAGCATGTATACTATCAGGAGAGATGGTCATATGAGCTGTATCATATATATATATATATATA